AAATTTGCTGGTAGATGTAGCCAAATTTGCTGGTAGATGTAGCCAAAAATGCTAGTATAAGTAGCTAAATATGCTAGTAGATGTATTCTGCAGCCACTTCTTCAGCTCGTCCTCCATCCCTCAGCCTCAGCAGCATGATTATATTGTCCTGTCTGAGCTCTGACAGATGGAGTTCCTACATGTTTAAATGAAACCCACAATTCTCGGAGAAACTACATTAGCTCGTACTGGTCGCACAAAAACAAACAAACAAGCCGATTTTGGTCCGCGCCAGAAGTTGTGCCCATAATTCACGCATGGCAGCATGGGGCTAGGAAAGAGGTGGATATGCATTCCCTCGACAAAAATACTAAAAACTGACCTCACCGTTTTATCTTTGAACCAGACCTCAGATCGGGATTAAACAGCAGGTTTTCTAGACTCAGCCTCATGGTTCCATTCTCTCCAGGATCAGGAAGTCGGGTCTGATCGGTCAGAGCTGCACGAAAATCTGCTTCTGGAAAAAGACAGCTTCACAGCAAAAACAAACATTTCATAAAATCCTGCATCAAGAAATGATCAACAGAACCCCAACGAGACTTGTCGATACATTTATTTTCTCCATGTTAGCACATAGAATATATTTATATACATATTGCTAGCTAAAGTGTCAAAAAAACTGAGAACATAAAAAAACGTTGAGTTGGATAATGATAGTTTACATGTGGACAGAACAGAACCTACAGGAAGTGAGAAGAAAAGATCATGACGCTGTTTTTATTCCCGCTCTTTGTACTTTAAGCACAAGCAGGATTAAGGAAATAATCAGGCAGTCATATTTACAAAAAATACCCTGGAATAAAAGCAGGTAAAGTCCAGATTTACGACAACAAATCTGATTGGTTCACTCATTTTCATCAGCTGAAAACAGACTTAAAATTCCAATAAAAAAACACATTGCATCATTCACGAGAGCAACATCGTTGTTTTTTTTTTCCATAAAGAAACAACAAATAGATGAAGCTGGAGATATGCACACGTACATTTTATGCAGTTAAAATAGAACAAGAGGGAAAAAAACATTAAATTTTAAAAACAGACGTGGAACAGAACGGACAAATACAAAAACAAGAAAATGCTGAAAAAAATATGAAAAATTGCAGACACGCTTTCACACTTTTTTTTATTTTTTTATCGTGGCGTTAAAAACGGTGCAGTGTTTGTAATTAAAAAAAAAATATAAAAAAACATATTCAAACCTGAATATGACACAAAAAGTGATATAAAACTTGTAGAAAACTAGCCAGAACTATTAAAATAAAAAAGATGAATTAATTTGAAATGTGCAGCTAAGACTAGACCGGGTGTACGGAGAGTGAAAGATCTACACGAAGTGCAACGATGGCAAAACATGGTGAAGAGTTAAATTAACATAAAGACCTGAAATAATTCCTCAAAACCAAAGAAGGATCTTTAACGGACGGTTTCTCGTTCAGATACTTCCTGCTTCCTGTCAGCTGATCTCATTCCTACAGTTTCCATTTTCTAACTCCAGACTCATATTCTCAGACTGTTCTCACAATTTCTGGTTAAATTAATTTCTGGGGGGGGGGTTGAAGGAAGTGGCTCAGTGTGGGGGAGCGCTACTTCTGTGCTTATTTTAGCTACTGCGTCTGTATTGCGCACCGCTAGCTATGTCGGGGCGTCCTCCTTGTATAACGGTAGAGGAAACACTGATCCCTGTAAACACCAAACTGTTCCCAGAAATATTTCCATCCACTCGTAAACGCCAAAAACAAACAACTTAAGTAAGGAACCGTGGACCGTACACACCCATATCCAATAGGAGCCTGTAGTCCACATCTCTAGGAACCACAGCTCGTATCCGTTGGAACCTTAGCAAGTACGCGTCCGAACCAAAAGGTACTGTAGCCCGTACGATCCATAGTTTGTATCTGTGGGATAGCACAGAAAACGTTGCAGGACAGCACCGACTTGGAGTCGGGTCAGTCCAAATCCACGGGTGTCATGGGAAACTTTTCTGGCCCTGTATCCACTGAGGGACGAACTGAGCGAAAGGTTCTCCTCACAATATTTAAATCGTATCAGGGTTACCGTAATTCTGTTCTCCACAAGTTTTAGATGTTTATTTAATGTATATACTTTTATCTTCATTGTTTGGAACCCATTTATAATAAAATATCATTTAGGGGCTCTAAACACTGTTCCAATGTGGACACAAGGCTGATTTTACTTTTTTTTAACAAACACACAAAAACCGTTTCCATGTGGACGGAGCCTGAACTTTTCTTAAACATTTTTCTACTATAATCTGACGTCCGTAATCCCAGAGTTCGTCTACAAATAGTATGTCTTTTCTGTAAAAGGAGTTACCATTTGGAGTAAAATAAAAATCCAACTTTCCTTTAGGGCTCTTAACACAAACCGTATAGTCTGGTGATGTCATCGGTTTGAACTTGGAAAGATTTATGATTATGATCAGCTGCCAAGCAAGTTGTTGCTGATAAGAAAAACTTTATTTTTTTTTAAATTATAATGAATTTAAAAAGCTCACTGCATGTCTGAGTAAAACACTTAAGAAAAGTTTGAAAATGGTGGAGGGGGGCACAAGTTTATCCAATGTGGATGTCTTTTTAGTTCCTAAAAAAACGGTTAAATTAACTATTTAACCATCGTAATTAACTTATATAACTATCGAACTGTCAGGAGTTCAGAGACAAAAATAAGGGATAAGTTGAAGACGAACCAAAGAAGCATCCTTGTCTTTAAGGGAATTAAAAAAACAGGAAACAGGTGTGAATTTATGAAACATGATGCATCTGAAAGTCAAACTCGTGTTTTCAGAAAACTTTTCAAGATTAAATCCAATGAAACAATCACACTGTTCTAGTTTAGTTTAATTTAATCTGCCCTGTACTTTTCTTAAGGTCAGCAAAAATAACGGTTTTATTTTAGGGTTGATTTATTTATTAGGACCGATCGAAACTATTGATTTTTACCGAGTGAAATCTGCTGACAAAAAGAGACATCTTTAAAGTTGCCGTTCGTGAAATTCTCCTCCAACTGAAGCTTTTCAGGAACGACGGGAACAATTTCAAACATGCGACTTGTGCAGCTTCTGTATAAGTAAATAAAATGATGCTAAGCAGGAGAAAGCTCAGTCACTGTCCCTAAACTCATAATTGATGTTTTTTTACTTGGTTTGATACTTTTTGCTTACTTTTCAACAAACTAAATCTTATTTTATTGGCGTTTGATGAAGACAAAACTCACTGAGAATGACGTAAAAGTTTACGCAGGTGCCAGCAAAGAGATTCGAGATTCCATCGCATTTCTTAAAAACTTCTCAAGAAATTGCAAATTGAAGTATTAGAGGGTTAAAAAAAAAATGAAGAGGAGTCTTTAATTTGATTTAAATCACTGAGATGACATGTGAGAGTCGGTCTCGTCTGCAGGGAGGAGTTTAAAAGGCAGAACAGCAGCACAGCAGAGAGGGACGTAGAATTAGACTGGGTCTATTTTACCTTTAAAGTTCTGCTTGTTTCCAGAAATCGACTGAGAAGAGTTTTTTTTTCAATGGCAGAAATAATTTTTTAGAAATCAGAGCAGTTCATGACTGATATACAACAATTTTAATTGTGTAACCAATATGAAACAAAATGTTTGTAAATAACTTAAAGAAGTGTTTAAAATAACTTTTTTTGCTTGAAAAAAAAAAAAAAGCTGCTGTAGCAGCTGCTGCATCTTTTTCCTATTTGCTAACGGATTATTTATGCATTTCTGAACATAATTAAATATCCTGTCAGAACTAAATTATTTCTATTTTTTTCTTGTAAAGAAGTATTTTAGAACTTAGTACTAATTTTAGTACTAATAATGCACAAAATACAATTAACAACAGTACTGTGGAATTTGTGCATTTAGCTGAAAATGTTTAAGTATTTTCTTTCACAGCAAGAAAAACGTTTCTCAGCAGAAAATAAAGAATTTGCTGATCTGAATAAACGTTCTGTCCGTCCACTTTAATTAACAAATGAATGTTTGTGTTGAAAAGCCAACATTGATGAATAAAATAAATAAAAGAAATCAGTTAATGCTTATAAATAAAGACTCCGTTAAAAGAACGACACAGACTGTTTTACTTCCTTGCAAAGAAACAAAAACGGTTTTAAAACACCAACACTCATCTTTGTAAGGTTCTTGATCGTTCATAGTTGCATAATGTTTTCAAAGAGCTTCTGGCCTTATTTTTTTTTTTAGACAAAAAGAGACAACGTATGAAGTTATCGACATGCAGGTTGCTTCACGGGGAGAAAAGAAAAACGGGCACTGAGCAACGACGACGGCAGAGAAAAAGGCTCAACTCGTCACTTCAGACTTTAGAGGGGAAAATAATGAAAAAGATCAATTTAGAGAAAACATCACAATAAGAATGCACCGATGAGCTCCTTAGGTAGGTTCAACGAGAATATGTGAATTTTTGGCAATTTTACAAGCTTTTGGATGGGTAAAAAAAAAAAAATCATGGTATAAAATTCATCTTAAGAAAATTTAAGATATCCCAAAATTTAGAGCAAATTAAAACCCTTTAATTTAATATCAGACTCATAAAAACAGTCTAGTTAAGAGAAAACGCAAATAGGTGCATTCTAGTAATAATACATGGAAGATTTATCTGTCAGCGTTTTAACGGCTGACATCCTGACCCTGTTCCCAATGAGTGATTTAGGACAATAAGATTTTAAGTAGAAAGCCAAAAAAGGTGCAATCCACCTCCATAAGTTCATGAACAATGACCTAAAATAACTTAAGTCTGTTAGCTTCTATATGTTGCAGTTCATTTTTGTTGGTTTGAAAACAGGTTTTCTCCAAGAAACAAAGTTGAGCTGGAGCTCCTGTAGTTTTCTTTAAATGCGTTGCAAGAACCGAGTTGTTGAATTTACAGGTAGTTTTTTTTTTAAGTAATAAGTAATGCTCACGTCGTGACACTTAAATAACATTCTCTGACACAAATTCAGCACTTCAGTAAAGAAAACAGACAAGCCGGAAAAAAATTAAAATAATCACACCAAATAATCTCTGCATTCGAGCCATGCTCTGGAGAAAAACTGTTCACGATTCAGAGGAAAATAACAAATGGAAGAAAAAATAAATTCATACAATGGCTGCATTAAATAAAAATCAGCTCGCCGCGCAGCACAACGTCCGATCCACACAGTTCAGAAAGGCGAGCGAAGAAGCAGGAAGGAGAAATGTGTTTGTTGTAGACACTGACTGACAGGTGGAGGGAAGGCCGGCAGCCAATCAGGTGTAGTACAAGGTTGGAAGGGGGCGGGGCTTGTTCATCTCTTCCTGCGGCAGGTTCGTTTGTGGTCGGCGTGCCAGTGTTCCTGCTGACACTTGATGGAGCAGTACGAGGTGTTCCAGCAGCAGTGATACATGGCCTCCTCTTCACAGTTGTAACACTGAAAACGAGACGCACAACTTGCGTTAAAATTAAAACACTGGAATATACATGCAAAAGTAATGCCTAAACATACGTTAAAACAACCACAAAGCTTTTTTTAAGCAAACGTTTTGATTTATTTCAAATAAGAGTTCTGTGGAATGGTTATTAATAAAGAATATCTTACCTGTTGTACATAGCACTATGAACAACCAGAATTTAAACAGTTTGCTTGAAGATGAATGTTCGCACACATAATGGTGGCAATTCAATGTTTTATTGTTTTCTTACCCTTGAACTTAGGGGTAGGCTTGTCACCATAACAAATTTTGCTGGGAGATTAATTGTCTCAGAAAATATCGCAATAAACGATAATATCGTTTGAAAATTGACAATTAATAATTGTTAAATTTAAGTTGGTTAATTTTGTGTGTAGTACCTTTTTTGACCACCAGATGGCAGTATAAGACTGTTTGAACTGGAGGATGGATAGTGAGGGAGCGAGAAGCGTGTCTCTAAGAAAAATGGGAGGGAGGCCTCTTGACGTGACATGGGCCGTCTCTCTTTGGTTCTCAAAATGGCGGATGCTCGGTGTGGTTTGAGCTCTTTAGCATAGCATTTTTCACACAAAGCTTCTAATTAAAAAAATCAGTAAACAAGTTCTCAGTTTCTTTTTTCAGAGAAAAACAACTTTTTCGACGAAGGCACGGGTTTCAACTGTGAATTTTTGAGCTTTGACAAGACGGAGGTTTTTCTTCCCCGAGGTCTGCTTGTTAGCTTAGCTTGTAGCTTAGCTTCTTTTAACGATCCAAAAACACGATTTTGGACGGTTAAAATGAATTTTAAAGAGAAAAGAGAAAGGGAGGGATCAGTGAAGAGCACCGGAGTTTAGCCCGTTGTCATCCAGTGTCTTCAGTAGAAAGAGAGAGACACGAAGAAACGATAAAGCCGATAAATGAAAATGAGGTTGATAATTTTAATTTATCATGCGATTAATTGATTTATTGATCATCGCGACAGGCCTATTTAGGAGCTCCTAAAACACTTGTGTGGAGCAAATAATAATCTTAATCTGACCAGACTAACAAGCTCACAGCTACTCTGAAGGCAGCCAAGACCACTGTTTGCAAGTTTGTCCATAAACTGTCAATAATTTTGTTTGACAGTTTATTTTTAACAAAGCATTCTGTGGCAGTAACGATGACAAGCACAAAGACTTGATCTGGGTTCTGTCAGGCTGGCAGTTTGTTAGTCAATGTCAAAAATAAACTGATTCCCACAAATAAAAGTTGTTCATTGAGCTATGAACACAAACAGCACACAAATCAAGACAACTGCAACATCGTGACTAAAACAAATCGTGCGTACATCAACTAAAACTTAATTTATTCCCTTTTTTTAATTGAAAACCTGGAAAGATTAAAAGAATGAGACTAATCAAGTGAACCCTGAACTCACCCACTGCTTCTTCTTGGTCTGGGAGATGAGCTGTTTGTGTTGAGAAACCAGTTTCTTCACCTCCTCCACCAGCTCCTCTTTACACTTCTCCTTCACCTGCTTACACTTCCTCTCCATCTCCGCCTGAACTCCGGCCACTGCTTTACTCACCGCCTGCCGTTTCTCCTCCTCCATCTCTGCTCGGAGCTGAGGGAGCAGAAAACAGACTGAGATTTAAACTCACAGACGTCCAGAAACATTGTGAGACCTTTAAAAGCAAACGCACCTTCTCCAGAGCTTCTCTGACGACCCTCTCCGTCTCCCTTTTGTTGTCGGCCTTCATCATCTCCTTGACGTCGTTGAAGACCTTGGTGTACTTTTCGTGGCACATGTTCTGGCAGGAGCCGTCGCTGTTGGTCTGGGTGCCACGATGCAGCATGCGCGGCGACCCTCCGCCGGCTTTCTTCGTCTGTGTGGACACAGACAGCTTCTCGGGCTGCTGGGGCGCCGAGGACACCGGGATCTCCTGGCTGGAGCTGACCGCTTCCACCTCTGGCTCCGGGTCCTGGAGGAGCAAATCTGATTTGATTTAATTTGATCCATTTTATTTTAGAAAGTTTGGACTATGACAATGTAAATGTACAATATAACCATTCAGATATGAAAAAAAAACTGTTTTATTGTGGTTTTATTTTACACACTAATAACTCCACGCTTTATCATTCATTTTTCATCTGTTACCAACCTATTTACTATTTTTTGTGCATACAACTCTATATTTGGCAAACTTGTGCCTGTTAATAAATTAAATAACTTAAAAATATATATACACACACACACATGTAGCTGCAGTAAAGACAAAGTTAACTTACACTGGCTTCCTCTTTGAGTTCAATATTTTGAGATCGACGACTTTTCTTGGCTTTGGGCTCCTGGCTGCCTTTCATCTACAGAAAAAAATCATTTTTAAAAAGAATCAAATTAACTTGACACAAGTAACTAAGCTAAAACTTGACTATCATTAAAAATCACGTAGTTTAATTCAAACTTTAAAGTAACAAATTATCCTAAATGAAAAAATCTCATAACTCTTGATGATTTTTAATCAGATTGTTGAACAATACTGGAGTCTGAAATACACTGTCTGGCCTAAAAAAAAAAAAAAAAAGTCACCACCTGGATTTAACTAAGTAAATATGTACGAGCCTCCTATTGGATAATTACTGCATGGGTGATTATCTTTCAGCTGCAACAAGTTATTTAACCTCAACTGGTGCAATGAGTTGCTTCTTATTTCTTAAACAACCGTGTTGAAAGTCACATGGCGTGGTCGTGGAAAAGATGTCAGTCTGTTTGAGAAGGGTCAAATCATCGGCATCAAGCAGAGAAAACATCTAAGGAGATTGTAGAAACTATTAATTATTTAAATTATTATTTAATTTCTAGAATTGCGCCGCTCAAGGTGGCTGCATGTTGGAGCAGCTCTGTTACTTTCATTTTGAGATTTTGCTTTTGGAAACTTTAATTCCTCTCTTTCTGGATGTAAATCACATTTTTTTGGATGATTGTTTCCTCTGGTATCGGATGCTGTGCAGCTGGAAGGATTTTTAATGAAACTTTTTAAGTTTTGGACATTTGTTATGATGCGTAACCATGGCAACAAGGCAGTTTTCTACAACAACAGCAGCTGATTAACATCTCAAAAGCTCAAATAATATCTCAACTATGGCCCCAACTCTCAAATGAGTTGAAAAGGATGTTATGTGGACGCATTCTCATCTACCTGCCAGCTGTGCTCAAGTGCCTGACCACTGAGATCCTGGAACTAGCAGGAAACACGGGTCATGACAGCGGAAGGACAGGATCGTCCCTCGGCACCTACAATTGGCTGTCCATAGCTATGAGGAGCTCGGCAGACTGCTGGGAGGAGTGGCCATCGCTCTGGGAGGAGTTCTGCCCAGCATTCAAGCGGTCCTACAGTCCAGGGGAACTGAGAGGTCAGCCGAGTCTGGGTGGACGGATCGGACGGCATCTGCAGCCAGTTTCTTAGGATCCACTGTGGGATGGACCTTTACAAGAGATCCTTCCTGTCTACAGCCATCAGCATCTATAACATCTCTTAATGAAATGAGGATAACAAGTTATAACAACAAAATAATTTCCCTTTGGGATTAATAAAGTATTTTTGAATTGAATTAAATTAAAACTGGGTTAAGAACTGTCCAATGCATTATTAAAAACTGTAAGGACAGTGGGGACCCATCGTCTTCCAGGAAGAAATGTGGCCGGAAAAAAAATCCTGAATGATCGCGATCTGCGATCAATGGTAGCACACAGGGCTGTGTTTAATAGTGACAGTAAGAGCATTTCCACACGCACAATGTGAAGGGAACTCAAGGGATTGGGACTGAACAGCTGTGTAGCCTTAAGAAAACCACTAATCAGTGAAGCTAACCTGAAAAAAAAAAGCTTCAATTTGCTAGGGAGCATAAAGATTGGACTCTGGAGCAATGGAAGAAGGTCATGTGGTCTGAGGAGTCCAGATTGACCCTGTTCCAGAGTGATGGGCGCATCAGGGTAAGAAGAGAGGCAGGTGAAGTGATGCACCCATCATGACTAGTGTCTAGACATCATCGAAAGATCTTGGTGAAAAATTAATGCAACACTGGATGAAATAGATCTTGTGACATTACAGAAACTTATCGAAACAATGCCACAGTGGATGCATGATGCAATCAAAGCTAAAGGCGTTCCAACGAAATATTAGTGTGACCTTTGTGTTGGTGGCGACTTTTTATTTGACCAGGCAGTGTAGTTGGATTTTATGAGCAGCTGTAAAATATCTGCAGCCAAATCAAGACAAAATACTTCGACACCAACAATACCTCTGCTTAACCATCAGATGGCATTAGTCGTTAAAATTAAATTAGTGTTGATGGTTTGATTTCATTTTATTATTTTCAAAGCTGCATGAACAACAAGAACATCAGTTAGGATCAAATTAAACTACCTGTTGCTGTGTTTTAATGCGAGTCTGCAGCAGAATGGTACAGAGCTATCGTAAAGAAGACTACCTGTCTCAATGAGAATACCTGTCTAAATAAATAAAATTAATAAGTAAATGTAGTTGTTTATATTTAATGTCCCGAAAAATGTTAGTCACAAAAACAGGTGACAAGTTGTTAAGGTTTAGTGTGTTGCGATCGTGTCACATTTCATAAATTACAAAGGCAGTAAATAAAAATATAAAGACTTTTTTTTTTTTTTTTCTAGAATTGAAACACGACTGATTCAAAAATGTTGAGCCTGACTCACGTTTGATTTACAAAAACAAACAAAAAATACAATAAAAGCCCTGTAATGTGAAGGTTTTTTTGTTGGACAAAAAAAAAAAGGTTTTCTTTATACGACCTCACTTACATGGCGGACCTGCTCGTTGCTGGTGGAGGAGATGCTGGACTCGGCCTCATCCGTCCGCTCCAGCCTGGTCTCCTCCTGCTGCTGCCGCTGGTTCTGATTTTGGTTCTGTTGGAGCGTTGGAGGGATGTCCTCCATCTTTGTTTTCCAGAAGCGCCCCTCCCTCAGGAAGCGTTGGTACACCTCCAGCTCCTCGCACGCCTTCTTCCAGCCGCCGCTGCGTTTCACCTGCAGCTGTTGGACGCTCACCTTGATGTCCTGGATGTTGTCTGAGGGGATCCAGGCTCTGGGGACCAGACCGATTCACCAAACAGAACCGCACTAATTTAATTACTTTCAAACCTTTTCAAGATTAAATAAAATGATCAACATTCCAAGTAAGCTAACCGCTGGTGCTGGTGTCCAAAGAAGCGAACATCCACCTGCTTGTCCTCCCTCTGCAGGACTTTAGCTGGCCAGTAGCCGAAACCCTTCATCTTAGCCCAAACTAAGTCGTGACTGGGGCTCTGCAAAAGTAACCCACACAAAGTAAATAATCCAGAAGACGTAAGGAGGATTTTACCAGACGACAAAGAGACAACATGGTTTGTTGGTACTCACACATGGATAACAGAACCAGTTGTTTGGTCGGGCGTTCGACAGGTAGAAACAGTTCTTACACAACAACAACTCGTTTAACTGCGGAAGAGAAAGGAAAAACAGAACAAGGACAATGAGGTAAAAAAAAAAAAGAACACTTAAAATCCAATAAATGTTGGGGATTCCTTGAATGAGCCTGAACTTCTACAGCAAATGTGATTTAATGGGGGTTTAACGGTTTGGAACAGACTTCTGGCAGTCACAGGTAATCACCGCTCCATCTAGAAGCGGCGCACGCTTAAAATCCACTTTGCCATCGATAAGAGCGACTCCACTCGGCTCTCCTCAAGCGGAGGTGATTTGCCACTGTGACTTGTGACCCCGCTGTGGGCGGGGTCGTCAGTGCAAAGTGGGCGGGATCATAAATTGTCTTTTTGTGTTTGAGCCACTCTGCCCATCGTGGTATAATCTGATGGAGATGTGAAAGATCACAGATGTTTTTGCACTTATTAATGCCAAATATGAACCACGAGTGGTGTTAAGTGTTTTGTCTAGACAGAAGTGGAGCTGCAGGAGCATGGAGCCTTCACCTCTTCAACTCAAGGCCCCAAGCTAAGAGGCTGCAAGAGCTGTCTGACCTCGAGTCGGACTGATAACCATTATAAAAAGACACGTTTATGCTCTCGGTGAGCAGACATGGGAGACGAAGCGCCATGTAAACATCTTGACGCTTGTATTTCAACTCTGTTCCTTCTTGCAAGATTAAACTGGGATTAAGAAAATGATCTACTCGCTCCTATGTGGCATATTTTTTTAATGAACTACTAAGGATAACATTAAATTATCCTAACATAATCTGCCTTCAACTTCTTTAGCTTATCTCTGCACTGTTTATACGTCTGATTGCGGCCCATCAACACGATGAGGAAGTGGAGGTTCAGATGTAGTTTGCAGTTTTGCTGGGCGGGTCATCCACTGACGTAGATCCGCGGGTCAATCAACAGCTGCTGTCTGCTTATGTCAAAATCAGCCCCTCAGAGCAGCCCACGTGGAACCACAAACAAGGTGGTCCCATAAACTGGGCTGAGTGGGTAGTGGCAGTGGGCAGGCCTGTAACTGGTGTGCTGTGGTGCGGAGTCGATGAAAGTTGAGACAGTGACACAAGTAACTACATTTTGCTAACAACCACAAACTGAGGGAGACACCTTTCAGATACTCTACATCAAATAAAACCTGCCCGTTTGTTTCAACCCGGCTGTGTGGAAACATGGTCACGATCTGTGGCTGCAGCTAAAGTGAGGAGCTGTACGGAAAGCAATTATGCCATTTAATATACGTTTTATGGCAGGAAGATGTCAATATCTCACATCAAGCATCATTTTTGTGTTACTTTTTAATTATAAAGTCTACAACAAATTAACAAAACAAAAACTACCTTTTTTTTTTTTTTTTGGTTTATTCTTTGATTTTTATAATTTCCCAACCCAGGAAAGAGATGCCTTTCTAGAGCTTCTCCAACATTTTAACTGACACATTGCCTGTAAGACACTGTTTACAGTTCAGGCTGAAGACAAAAAAAAAGGAAGTGCAACTGGACTTTTTTTTTATTTTATTTTGACGTTACCAGTCGACAAATCCTCGTACACCATCTTCTCCCCGAGAGACTCTCCACGAGCAATGGAGGCTTGTTTTCCTTTCTATGGATCAGTTGCAACAACTTCGTATTTGGTACGTGTCCCTTCACCTTGTTGTATCAAACTGTTCCCCTCTTACCAAAGCATGACTCGAGTGTACAATTACCACTATTTTCTTAAAAATAAATAGTAAAACCTAAATGCTTAGAACAGTGAAAGGTAAATATTTGTACCTCATGGCATGTGTCACTGAACAGCAACTGTGCAATCTCTGCCTGGTCACTCTGAACTGCGACAAACAAAAACAGGAAAATATTATTATTTATTTTAAATTATTATATATATTATTCCTTTAAGCAAACGATAATGTGAAACAAAAAAAATCATTTCAGAGAAAAGAACAAAACCGAGGCGCATTCAAAACAAGTTGTTTTAAAAAATGCATCTCTTGTGCAGAAATGTAATATATGAGGAACTATTTAAGTCATTTAACTTCGGTTTAAGCATCGTACCTTCTTACACTAAACGGAGTTTGGAGATGTGATGTGGTAGCACCTTCCAGAGATTTTTTTTACTTTCTGTCTGTTTAAAAAGGATTTAATCAACCTGAAAGCAGGACATGCTCATTAAAACTTGTCCAGCTTGGACCCACCTCCGTACAGGATGGCGATGTTGTGAACAATCAGCTGAGCGTCCGCTTTGAACTCCTCAAAGTTTTTATATTTTCCTTCAGACAGGTTCTGAAAGAGAAGCGAATGGATGGAAACAGAGTGAACGTTAGGCTGAGGGAGAGAAAAACAACACAAAGAGGTCTGTTCACGTGCACGGTGAGTGCACGTTTGCTGACCGACATGCAGGAGGTCCAGAAAAGGGCAGTGGGCTTATTAAAGCGTGCACACACACATCTGGGCAGAAATCCAAGCAGTCTGGCAAAGGTGTGTGATGCACCGCTGACCACAGAACAGCAGCGTTCTGTCTGACCTCACACACACACTTACACACACACACACACACACACACACACTCAAACTGAAGATAAACAGAAAGTAAACATAAAAAACACCAATAAAATAAATTTAGATCCATTCGAACTAATTATTTACAGCCTATAAACGATTCTGACTCTTCTTGTTCTGAATAAGCCAAATTAAAAGTTTTACGTCAACTTTGAAGCACAGAAATTGTTTCTTTTGATTATCAACATGCACTAAACGGTGAAAACAAGACGACGTTCGTCCTGCGCAAGCGTTTGTGTGTCTGTTTCCAAAAGATCTCACAAACGTTTTAAGGGATTTCATTAAAATTCTGAAACGCAATCATTAGATGAACGTCTAAAACTGATCAACTTCAGGAGTCGAGACAATTCAAGAGGTCAACCAAAACTACCGTAATTTCCGGACTATAAGCCGATTCTTTTCTCACAGGCTTTGAACTCTGCGGCTTATACAACGGTGCGGCTAATTTATGTTTTTTTTTTGACGGGCTAACAAACTTCCTGCTGCCAAAAACATTTAGCCTCGTCATAACCGGGCACTCACGGCCCCTACACATCTCTCTTGGGGGGGGGCGGTGTGTGTGTGTGTGTGTGTGTGACTCATTGTGACTACCTGTATAAATAAAAGTAAAAAAAAAAGATCAGACCAATGAAATTACCGACCAGGTCACAGTGAAACAAAGCAAAACAGTAAAAGTAAAAACAGTTACTGAACATGTTTGTTTATGTTACCGGTACGTATTTAATTAAAAGATTAAAGAATTAAAAAAATATATCTCATGTTACAAGGTGGACATCTGCGGCTTATAGACAAGCGTGGCCTATATTTGTAAAAAAAAAAAAAACACTTTTGAAATTTTGTGGGTGCAGCTTATATCTATCAATCAATCAATCAATTCAACTTTATTGTCCATAACATTCAATGAAATGAAGATTTGTCTTTGACATCTGGCTTATTATATTCAGGTATATTCAATAGTGTGGAAATTACGGTAATCAATCCCAGTCAACACACCTATAGCTTGATCAGTTTTACAGATATTGACCTATAATTTGGTATGGTAGTAGATGAGGTCATCTCCAACTCACACTCCGAACAATTTGTTACCTCTTGGATGTTGGTGACGTCCATAGCAGTGTGGATCAGTCGTCTGTACATGGGATGTTTAGTGTCTTTGCCCTTTTTGTTGATGTCCACTGCCTGCAACGCAGAGCCAGGACCAAGATTTAGTGAGATTTCATCAAAAGGAGCGGTGCTACATTGCAGGGACATGACGGAGTAACAAGAACAAGAAGCAGAGCCAGCCTGAAGAGAAGCAGCATGCAGGGTTCATAACGAGAGCTGATACCACTTTAAAAAAGGAGAAATGAGATGAGCAAAAGGAGGCAAAGTGGTGATCTTTAGCTCACTGTTAATCAAGGAGGGGCTCTACAAGAGCTGAAGGAGAAGAGCAGAGAAAAAGAAAGCTGGGCAGAGAAAAAGAAAGCTGGGCAGA